GTCTCAGTGCCAAAGCTACTGATCTTCTCCTTAAAGTTAATGGATCCACCTAATAGGTTATTACTCAGATAAAAGTCTTATAATAAATATATTATACATTCGATGAACATTCCATCAATCAGCACTTATGCACACATATGAGACTTCAAACAAATCTCTTATAAGATTTGTGGTTATAACTGTAAAGGCAATAGGTATTTTGTTGCCCAGAATTTGACGACACATAATATTTGTGGTTGGAGAAAATGTTTTAATCATATGACAAAATCAATGACAGTAGTTGGAAGCTGTCAATAATAATTTCCAACTTGTCAGCTGTTTTTTTGTTATATTGCTGTCATGTTTAGATTATGAGGATTTAATTTTGTATTTGAATTTGCGACCACTTTGTTTTTTAGAGAATTCATTTATGTCTTTGGCAATGTCATTTATGAATTCACTAGGCTTTCTTTTTATAAAAAGAAAAATATACGTATGTATTAATAAATATTTCGACATTACTATTAACAAACAAAAAAAAAATTTCAAAAGATATAAATAATTACTTCTAAATGCCTTTTGAGGTTTAAACCACTAACCTTTCAAGAAAGATATGTTCTTCTTGTATAAAGAGTAAGTGGCAGTTTTCATGGCGAAGTTACTTCCATCCTTTTAATATAAAGTAAAATATTTGCGTAGCTTATGAAAGGGTAAAAGATTTTCACATATATCTGCCACCACACATCAATAGTGGGTAATGTACATTAGTAAAAAAAACTAGAATTTATTTATATTATACTTAATTAAATAAAACTTGTAGGCTGTAAATCTTTTTCGCGATCCTCAATTTAAGACAGGATCATAAATCCGGCAAAATTGGCCAAATTTAGGGATCGAATCCAGAATCGTCGATCTTTTGATCTCGATCCTTTACACAACTCTGTATTTAACACATATATATTTATATATATGATACAATCCCTAAAGTTTATTCTATAATTCTCGCAAGATTAAATCTTTATTTAGCAATAATGCTAGAAAAGCTACGATATATTATATATTGGTATCAATTATTTTTTATTCTTCTTTATATATTTATACATAATATATATAATATTTTTTTTTAAATATTAATAAAAGATTTTATTCAAGTTTATCAAAAAATATATCTTAGGGAATCATTTTTAAAATAGTTGCTTATGTAACGACTCTACATTTATAAATCATTAATTATAGAGAGTTTCTTTTGAGAGAGTAACTTTAATATAGTGAACCTACATTTTTGGATAAATTTTTTTAAATTTTGGGCTTTACTTTTAAAATGTTAGCTTCAATAAGCAATGGAAATTTTCCGATAGACTTCCATTAAAAAAATAAAGGCCTTAAATGACTTAAAGATTCCGCAAAGAAGTAATGAAGCCATCCCCATACTATTTATAAGTCTTTACAATCAATAAAAAGTTCACAAAATTAAAATAATCCCAAATTAAATACTTGTATATATAACCTATCTGATTAAAAGTGGCTAAATATATATCTGGGCAGCATAATTGTCTAGGTTCCTTCACTAACCAATCTATGGTAATCAAATATCTAATCAGAAAAGTACACTTTTCTAATCATGTAATAGATGTAAAATAATCAAAGTCAACCAACCGTGTTATTTATTTGTTTGAATGATCTCTGGGGAAACTTTATAAGAAATCTCCGAATTTCCTATTATTTATTTATTAATAAAACTAATTTAATTATATGTTTTTTTTCGATTAAATTAAAATTGATTCAAAACAAAAACCACTAAAACATTTTTAAAAAAAATATAGAAGGAAGGATCTTAATAAATAAGTAAAAATTACAAACCGTAAAATCAATAGAGTTCATTTAAAGTTTTATTGGAATATCACATTTTTATATGATTGTATAACTATTACTTCTTATAATTTTTATTCGCCGGAAAGCTCAAGCTATAGAAATATAAATTATACACTTTGAGAAAAACTTCTATACGACCCTTTATTACTATAGAAATATATCAGGGTCTACCATTATAACTAAAAAAATATATATATAAAATTTGACTTTAATGTTCTAATAATAAACGCAAACACTGTGCTCTGTTTTAAAACAAATTTTATTATAAAATTTTGCAGCATATAAATGACATAGTGCGTTCATTTTGCGAGAATTTATAATTCTATGCAAGAGGCTATGGTCAGGAGGTTAAAGGAATAGAAAATGAACCACGTTTTTCCACAAAGTTTTCTTGAATTTGTTTTATTTTGAATCAAATTATTCGAATAATTTTAGATATTTTATCATATGTCATTAGCTATTGATAAATTATAAATCTGACAGGTTATTGTGATTAAGGGTTTATACAGACACAAACTGCTTGTGAAAAGTTTTTCTTGATTAGAAATAATTTGCTCTCAGGAAATCATCATGTCTTATATATAATAAAAAGACGAGGGGTTAAGAATTGCTTTAGCATTTGTAAATTAAATTAATATGAATTTTTAATTTTAGTTAATAACTTGTTCATATGATTATGAGTATAGATGTTGCAAATATTTCTGTAGAATATAATTTCGCATAAATTATTTTATAATATCTTAATTATTTTTTTCTCGGTTATTGGTTGCTTTATTTGAATAGTAGCTGATATAATATGTTATCAAAAGGGTAATAGCATATAATTATTTTTTTTTCTAATATAAAATTAATAAAGGTGAAAAATATAGGCAGCAAAGCTCAAAATTTTTTTTTTATAAGAATAAGGCAAACGGATTAAGTGAAGAAACCTATCAGCCTAAGAAACCCCTTTTCCTACGACAAAGACCTGTTACCGCCATTATTCGCTCTAACTATCTAAGTTTTATCTCTTCCATTGAATAATCTTCCATGTCTATGCTTTCCTTCCACTCTCCCATTCTCTTTCCTAGTTTTTCATTTTTTTTATCCCTTATCCTATATTTATTATTTTTCACCTTTATATAAATTTTTTCATAATATCTAATTATACTAATTATTTTGGATTATTGGCAAATCGAATACAGATGGTAAATTTTATTATTATTTCTAGGTTGATTATATTAACCGATTAATTTAGAATATAATATGAATAATGCACTAATAAATTTGTATGAAAAGACCTAATGCAAGATTAATATATACATTTGAAATAATAAAATTTTGTAATTGCACCCTCATTATCTGTAATTTGGAGTGATTATTTATTTATATATTATGTCTAAACAATATCAGCTGCCACATAGAAACGTTGTTACAGAGGATACCACAATGTAAAAAAAAATAGCGGGACGGTAGCATTTAGCCTAAAAAAGATGTTTCCATCTCCAAATTCGTTTTCTAGCTAAAAACGAAATGGGAAAATATTCGCAAAAATTATTTCCCCAATATTCATATGAATCAAATGATGAGCTTTTTGATCTGAGGTCAATATATGTCATATAATTGTTAAAATATATATAAACAAAAATTGGCCCAATATATTTTACATCTCAGTGAATATAAGATCAATTGTTGTAAATGGCTAGTTTAAATAATATGTCATTTTTTGTAAAAATATTATTGACTAAACATAAAAGATAGATGGAACTATGCGAATATGTTGTTTGCATAACTAAACCCGAACCGACATTTTTCACTGTTGAGATGCTTGTGCACTGGGTCGTGGGGAGGCGAGAAAGTAGCCGCACCGAGCCGCAAAACTAAAACATTATAGGGGCCGCAATTTTATAATTTTGCCCATTTATTTCTTAGCCACTTGAAAAATAATTTTTTTTAGTATGTAATTAAAAATACTAGGACATTATTCTTTTTCTGTAAAAAAATCTAAGTATTCATTTTGAAAAAAGGTTTGGCATGTCTAGCCAGTCCTATGTATTATATAACTAAAAATTTGATTTATAGTTTAGTTTTAATTAAACAAATTCATGTATTTTTTTTTAAAAAACAAATCCGGGCTGGGCCATGCAAATTGTACCTCTGTAGATCTTTGATCAATATATAATATTTCTTTGCTTTACTAGCATTATTGCTAAATGATGATTTAGTCTTGCTTTTTATTTTCAAGGATTTATATATATGAATTGTTAAATTTTATAAAAATTGAATGCGTAAATTCTTCCATAAACAAAAAAAAACAGGCATGGAATTCGAATTTTGTTTGTTAAAATATTAATTTTTTTATTAATCAATAGAAGAAAAAAAAATATAGAGAAATTCAGGAAGATATAGATAATAGAGATAATAACGATAAAAGGAAGGAACACTTATCTCCGTTCTCCCCTATATAATATTTCATAATGAGTATACTTTAAAAAATTTTCTAAAATTACATGGGATAGGAGAGGAGATAATGTTTATCTTCATGGCTCAAAGGCCCTGAATCAAACCTTTTAAAGATCTCCTTCCCTACTAGAAAATAGTGGTCACTAGTATAAAATTTGTATATTATAAACATTATATTTTCTCGGTAAAAAAAAAAGATTTTATCATTATATTTGTGTATAGGTTTTATTTGTGCAAATATTGAGATATAAATTAAAGAACTCTCAACTTTGACATTTCCGAAAATTTATTTTGTAAATGAACTATATGGAGAGTAAATTGTTCTAATTGGTACAAATAAGCATGTCCTAGAAAATATATTTTAATGATAATATTAAAGAACTTTGACCTATCTTATCAAATTATTGTTTATAAAATCTAAATGATATAATGCTATAATTTGCAACCATTAATATAATTTAATTATTACATTGTTTTTCAAAATATCATAATAATATGTTTAAAAGATTTATTTGTGTAAATATTATGATAAAATTAAAGAACTTTAACTTTGACCTTTCGCAAATTTATTTATTAAATGAACTATATGGGGGGTAAAATTATATAATTATCGCCTTTCATATATAAATCCGAATAAAATAATTTTTAACTAATAGAAAATATTTTTTTTGAAAATTATTTTATAAAATTTCAATTTAAAAAAAAATAAATTATCTTTTATAATTTTCTAAAAATTACAACAAAAAAATGAATAAAATATTCCATATTCTATCAGCTCTTGTTTTGATTTCAGGATATAGGCAAAGTATATAAATTTTTATTTTACAATATTTTATCATAATATATACATTTTTTTTCCTTCATTTTATTAGTTGCAGAGGGAAATCCAAGTAAATAATTACGTTATTTTTTTTTAATTTATCCATATTTGGACTAAAGATCTTATAAGCTTAACCATCAAACCCAGCCCAAAATTAAGCATTTACTTATAACTTACAAAATTAAAAATGTGAAATCTTAAAAAAAACTAAGAAGTCCTTTCCGAATTTCTGATCTCCGATTCAAGGCATAATCTATACCTAAAGGTTGGACCAATACCAATATATTATTGGTTTACAATACCACCAATATTAACCAATATATTTAAATATTGGTATTGGTTTACAACCTATACCATCGATATAATTTTTAAATACAATATTAATCAATACCAATACCAATACCAATACCAATATTAAAAATAGATAAATACATATAATTATTTGGTTTTATCGTGGATGATTATAACGTGGCATATATTTTTTTTTACGTTCTTTAAATTGCCTAAATTTATTACACCCGATAAAGTGCAAATACTAACTTTTCTGTAATGTGATATCACTATCGGTTTTATAAAAGTTGGATTCTCATGCAGGATCCTTCTTAAAGACATAAAATTATTTTCCCTAATATTAAATTTATATCAATCGTTTGCATTGTATTTTATATAAATAAGACAGTTACATTATATTTTTGTGTTACTCATTTTGCTATAATTTATTTGTGCTAAATAAAAAGTTTCAAAAACAATACGTTTATTATTTGATTGGTTTAGTTTAGTTTTAGGTTTGTATTTTTTAAAAAAAATAAATTTATGAATAAAATCAAAATTTTTTAATATTCCCATCACCTAATAAATTCCTAGTTAAAAAAAAATAATTTGGATTCAGTAAAATTTTAAGAGTTGGTTCTTAGCCTTGTTTTTATGGTAAACGCTTCACTATTTTTTTTTCTCCAATGTTTATTTAAAACTAGAAATTACGAGTTTTTTTTAAATAACTATTTCTATGCTTTTAATTAATTTGAATTTAAACCAATATCAATATAAACCAATACCAATAGCAATACCACAAGAATTCGAAAATATTGTTCAAACCAATACCAATATTTTAGACCCAATACCAATACAAATTTTAGTTTATCTTGGATTTTTAATATTGGTTCCCAGCCCTCGCTATACATAATAATCAGAATTAATTATTTAAATTTAATACATACTATAATATATTTATTTAAATTTTTGATTTTTTTTGATAATACTAATAGTCAATAATCCTACTCTGAATGATGGTATCACCATTTTAATGATAATATTTATAATTAAAACATATTTAAATTTATTTAATTATTTTCTGTTATTTTATATTTATCCAATATTATATTAAATATAAAATTTATTATTTTGATTCCCCTATTCAAAATATCATGAACAGGAATTTTTTTTTACAAACTTGTCTCAAACCCAGAGAATTAGTCTAGATATATGGAGGGAGTGGGCATGAACTACTCTATGTAATTTAGTCATTAAAACGTGATTTAATTGGAGTAAGTATATATTGTTAAGATGTCCACAATCATATATAACCTTGGGAATCCTCCGCCTGTTGAAAATATACCTGGTGTTACTACCTAAAATATGACTCTGTCATAAGATCATTTTAGAGATTCGCAACTCTCTCTTTCCCACCAGAAGTAATCCTCTCCCTCCCCCCCCCCCTTTATTTTTAGAATATTAATATATTTCTGTCATCCTTTTTTTAGTCATTTTGTTTTCAAAATCTTTTCTTTTCAACTTATAATTTTTTCTCTTTATAATAATAATGTAATTTTTTTAAATGCATGTTTTAAATCTTTAAAGCATAATTAATATTATTCAAAAATCTAATTTTCATTAATATTTTTAAAACAATTTTTGCTAATAATACATTTATTTAAAATTTTCTTTTTTATCATAATCATTTTAAATAGTTAAGTATGCGGTTTGTAGATATAAAACGAGGAGTAAGCCCACATTTAATTTACACTGCTTGATAAAATATTTTTTTACATCTGTCTACTATAGCTCCTGGGATACACTGTATTGTAAAAAGTTTGTTATCTAATATAAATTTGAAAATCTAAGTTATAATATTTATTTGTAGATGGTTCTGGAGACATTACCGGTTAAAATACTTATATGCCTATAGAAAAAATGTTTATATATATTTTTTAAATTTATATATAGGGAACAATATAATACGGTATAATAAGCCTTTTATTAGTAATTATTATATAAACATATATATTATTTTTGTAGATATACGTGAGCGAGGGGATTATCTTATCAGCAGTATATTATTTACTTGCTTTATAATAAATATTTTTTACTTTTATATCTAATTTTTCTCAAAAAAAAAATTATTTTAAGCTTCAAATGTGTTCATTTCGATTAGTAAATTACGAATAATAATTTATAAAAAATATATGCAATAATGATAAAAATTGTATTTTAGATTTGGGAAACAATACATTGACTATTAACATAGGTATAACAAATTTGAATAGATTAGTAATATAATTTATAATTATATAGTTCAAGATGCTAGACCCATCGGTAAAATATTATACAATTTTCAGTTCTTAGATAAATTGAACTCTGAAAATTATACGCTTGTAATGGATTAAATATTATGTCGATAATTAATATTGTATATAAAAAGGGAATAAGCGAGAGAAAAATAATATGAGATAATTCCTTTATAAAATCTCAATCACTTATCTATTGTTATATATACCTGTTAATTCAAAGGTTGAATATTGTACTGATTGTTACAAATATTATTTAAATATATGGTATTATTAATATTTAATGTTTTACTTATTAGACATAAAAGTGAATAATTTTATATATAGATTTCAATATCAATAATAAATTCCTTCACTTGACAAAAGATTTAAAATTAATTATTAATAAAAAAAACCTTAAAAAATAAACAATTTGCGAAATTAATAAAATATCTAAAGATATAGTATTATTTCTATCTTCTGTCTCTCATTATCTTATATAGCTATTTTTTTTATGTTTCTATACTTTTTCTTGGTCCGCACCTAATTTTACACATAATAAAGCAGTTATAACTTATTTTTATATAATATTAAGTGAATCAAATAACCGATGAAATAACATTCCCAAATCTGGAAAATCAATTTAGGGCGGAAAAAATAGGTATTATATGTATATTATTTTTATTTTATTTAAATTGATTTATATTTTTTGAAAATTTAATTTACATTTGAGTGTAATTTAAAATGATCATTATATTTATTATACGATTAAAATGGGACACAATTTATTAATCAAATCTAGAACCTGTAAATGGCACCCTAATAATAAAAATAGGTAATGATGTGTTTATTGATATATATATACTTAATGCGTCATGTTATATTGGTTTAAATTACCGTTAAGGAGAACAGTGTTATAGAGCCTGCCTTATTTGTTTTATCGTTGATCACATTTAAAAATTCCTTTTTGATCAGAAAAGTAATTAATATCATTCTTTAATGTATGTTAAACGGGTTCGCATTAAACTTATTAAAGAAAACATCTAACACAATATATTAGCAGGGATATTGCCCAAAACCTTTGTACCGTATATGATCCAAATCTTTAGGCTTTGCATAGAGTTTGTTTGGATAAAATATCGAGATAATCGTTTTTAATAATAGGCTAAAATCGTGCAATTTAAAAACACTGCTCTTAATATTTAGATACATTTCTCATCTTTAAATAGAATTTAAAATTAAATTTCCATGATAGTTTTTTGGGATATATATTTTAATCGAGTAAATATTTTAGCAAATCAACCCAAACATGTAGTTAAAATTTTTTGGCCCGTTTTTTCTGTTTTAACATTGTTTATGAATAAACATGTATGTATCAGCATATAATAATCAACATCAAATTTATTTGCTTGATAAATAGTTCAAATTGATTTTGTATAACTTTATTTATGTTATCTTTTATTTATAAATAACTGGAATGATATAAGACATAGCTTTAACTTTTAGGATTAGTCCTAGAAAAACGTATGATGTGGATTATCATTTTATTAAATCATTATATGGCAATTATTCACAACCTATCCATTTCTCATCGTGTTATTAAACATTTTTTTATATTATATTTAAACATAGCTTCTAAGTTGGAATTATTTTATAGTTTAGTATGACAATTCTGTCTATAGGAAATTTTTCCTAATAATTTTGAATATATTTGGTGCACATATGATTTATATATTTTATTATTAAATTGACATTACTAATAAATAATCATAAGCAAGGCTCAGATAGTTATACTATATGAGTCATTATTATCATATAGAGATATAAGTATAGCCACTCAACATTTTGGCTCTCTAATTAAGGTTGTTCTTACACCAAATAACCAATTATGATAATTTTGACGTGTATTATAGAGTAAATATAATTTTTTTAAAATCATCACTTACCGTCTTTAGAAGGAACAGAAATCTTCCGTGATATAGGTACATGCCACACTATATAACCTTAATATTCTCTCCTTAATCAATTTTTAAATGTTATTTTTTAGTCTCCGAAAATGTGCATATTACAAATTATACAGGTAAAATAGAAATATATAGATTGAATATTATTAAAATATTCCTTAACAGCTAAACCATACCTTCTTCAATATAATGGTATTCTATAAATAATAATTAAATTTTCATATCGCAAAACCAATTCCTCATAATGTATTTCTATTATAATAAAATTCCTAAACTACTCCCATATTAAACTTCGCATTTCGTCTATTATGTTTAATTCAATCACTCTTTTTTTCATATCTTAAGCCATTAGAAAACAATTAAATATCATGAAAGAGATATAATATTCTTTTTCATATTTTTAAAAAACACATTTTGGTATAAAAAAATATTATTCACAAGAATTTTCATAGGATGACAAAATAACATTCTAATTCCTCTGATTCAATAAATTTTATTTTTAACCTATCAATTTATTTTATATTTGATGATGAATCCTTAGTTTTTTCCTTCGATAATATCTATAAGGTCACAATGTTTAAAAGTCTAACTACTGCTATTTTATTACTATTTACGATTTTAAAAATAAAATAATATATACCACTAAATCTTCGTTTCATTTCATACGAGTATCTTAACTTAAGCTTATTAAATTTTTCTACATTTTCCTCTAGCATATTATATACATAGAATATAAAATAAGTCGATGAATATTTTATGTCTGCTAATATAAGTCTATGCATACGTTAAATTGTCTACATTTCTTTAGAATATTTAAACTTGTATATTATGATATCATTAAAATTAATTTTATTTGTTAAAGGTACACCACTATAATACCGGAAAAAACAATCATCTTTAGTTTATTACCACAATCTTTATATTAATTAACCTGGGGATTTTGCTTACGAATTTATTAATTATATATTTATATATATAATGTAATTAAATTTTGCTTTATATTAATTTATATATCAATCCTGGGGGTTTGCATTTTGTTAATCATTATGACAATAATTGTGAATAAATATATCTATATATTTGTTTTATATTGGGTTTTTAATACAAATTTAGATGGAATTGATTCATTTATTATCAATAAATATTTATCCTACATTCGTTATCTTTTTAAAATAATTCTTAGTTTAAATGACAAAAATAAGAGAAAGCGTCTAATTTTAATATAAGTAATGAAGTGGGCTCTGAAAAAATTAAACAAGGAAGCTTAATTAGTAATATAAATTTTTAAAAATCCTGAAAAATGATTTTATACCTCGTGAGAGTATTACTTATAACTTGATGAAGTTTTCTGAAGTGTTGTAATCTCTTCTCTCTAATTTTTAAAAACAATTCAGAACATTTATAAATATCGTTAATCTCCACGAAACTTTATTATGTTGGATGTTCATATGACATACTAAATGTCATATACATTAATACATTTTTTTTAACTTGAATGTATAACATAGGCTTAGCCAGGATTTTCCAGGGGGGGGGGATTAAAAATTTACTGGAAGCTTCGCCCCCAGACTCCCTTTTGACGGGCCTTTGGCCCGCTTTTGCCCAGGCTTCGGCCGAGTTACCTTAGTCTATATATAGTCATAAAATATTTTTACAAGATAGGAAGTTAATTTTTAAAAAAAGCCATATGAAATATATTTTCATTGTTTATATAAAATATAATGAATTACTTGTATATATAAAAGCATGGTAATAATTTATTCCAAACAAGTATAAGAAATTTATTTATAAAAAGTAAGTAGTCATATAGTTGATATTCCTTTATTATATAGAATTAGTTACAAAAAACTATGTAAAATTCCACTTTTACAGACATATATGACAGTTAGAGAATATATTACAGTTAATATTTTAACAAATTTTACTAATAGGAACAATTATTTAACTCCATCTATTTATTTTAAATAAAAAATGATATTAAAAATTAATCTTCATATTATTCATCTCACAATGTCTTTAAAAGATATTTTCTTATGTCCTTATCAATATTTTATAATTTTCTTTAAAATATATAATACGCTATATTGGTAAAAATTACTTGATTGTCATATGATAATTGATAAATTAGATATACTGTAAAGTAAATCTACAACATATAATATTCCACTGTTTGTATTGTGCTTTAATTTTTTTATAATTTATGAATTAATTTTAACAATAGTTTTATAATTATATTTTACTTTTAAGATAAATAAATTAAAATTACTCACTTTATAAAAAATTATATTTGATATAATATATTATTTAGTAATTTTATGATTAATAATTAAAATACATTACACTTTTGTCTTAAGACTTATCTTCAGCTTACATTATTAAAAAACATTTTTGGTTCACTTTATATATACAAATGCTTTTTTCCAAAAATGTATAAATTATGATAAATAGTTTTATAAAAAAAATATCCACTTTTACATTCTTTCTTTCAAATTATTGTTTAGGGTATGCATACATTTTTGAAGGTCAGAGAGTGAAGGGAGGACTAAGGGGGATATTTTTTATTAGCTTAAAATGATATTCACAATTTCCCCTTGCCCCCCCCCCCCGGCTACGCCAATAGTATATTACTATTTAAGTGAAAAGTGATTTATAGCGCCTATTCTCTCTTTGGATTTTCAACAGAGCTACGCTAGGTATTCCTCATTTTCAGTGGCGTAGCTAGGAATTTTTCTTAGAGGGGGTCCATACATATAAAAGCTGGTTGCCTTCGCCCCCAGACCCCTCAAACGGGCCTTCGGCTCTTTTGCTCGGCCTTCGGCCGGGTTTATTTTACAAATCATAACCATATCTTCGATAATATATAATAAATATATTTTTTAAATGCATCAATATGAAGTTATTATAATTTAGTAGATTATTCTCAATGACTTTATAATAATACTATCCAGAATAATTTCAATAGTAATATTAATATCCTTCCACAAACATCAAAACCAGAAAAATATAATTCATATAAAATCACTTCTAAGTCTTTTGAACGTATAATCTAAAAAAAAATTTTGCTCTGCGAGGGGTCCGAACCCGAAAATCACCCCCGTAGCTACGCCACTGCTCATTTTAAACTAACTAGATTAAATTAAGTTGGATAAAAAATTAAAAATGAGAAGCCCTCTATAAGTTTGTGGACTGGCTATACGTACTTGTACGCTCAACATTCATAGAACTGTTATTTAAGCCTCCATAGTTTAAGAAAAGAAGAGTGTTGAGAAAAACAAATACCTATACCCGAAACTTCAGATACTCTAAGGATGGGAGTTGGCTGATTTCAAGTTTAAATTCCCTTAGTCTATGTCTCAAATTATTACCATCGAGAGATTCAATGGTCATATCAATTTAATCTCGTTTTATCCTAAAAGAAAAAATTCATAAAATATTATTTAACTTCTAGTAAAATAAGATGTTCAATTTTAATATTCTAGTAAAATAAGATGTTCAATTTTAATATTCTAGTAAAATAAGATGTTCAATTTTAATATTCTAGTTTAAATTTACATGGTTTTTAATCTTGATATTCTATTAACCGCATTTGTAGCATCCACTTGCACCTAAAAACCGGACACTTCTTTATATTTTAGTTCACTATTTAAATTTAACAAACAAGACAATTTAAAACTATTTTTTCTTTACTTATTTAATTCTTACAATTTGTCATTCATATCATGTTATATTATAAAATTGTTATGACCCTTTTGTTATTTATATAACATTATATTTTTAATAATCAAAATTAATTTACTATATATATATATATGTAATATATATTATGAAAAGGAAATGTAAAATCATTATTACGATATGTAATATTTAATAATAAAATAAATATAGATTATATACTTAAAAATTTTGCGAAGATAAAAATTGTATATAGAAATAAAATTTATTAATTGCCATAACATATCAACGTATTTAAAAATGGAAATAATTTTAGAAAATTAATCAATATAATTTTACTAATTATCAGAGCTTTAAAAATGATAGAAATTCTTAATAGAAACAACTTCCGTAGAATAAAAATTCAGACATCATCTTTTTATATGAAGATATTAGGGTTTACCTTGATTATATTCTGGTATTGACTATCGCAAAATACAAATGAGCTTAGGGTTATATTCACCAATATAAATCTTTCAAAAGGCGGGGAGCGAAAAAATCCTTAAAATTTATTATTGGAGTGTTAATAAATTTTAAATACAAATATATATAACGTATTCTTGGTAACTTAGATATGGAATAAAAAAATTTTTTTTAAAATTGTTAATTAATGTCATATGAAAAATATACATTTATTAATACAGAAATTGTTTATCATTAAAAAAAAAAGGAGATTTTAGATATTTACGATAAAAAATAATATTTTAAGTCAAAAATTCATTAAAAAATTTTAATTTATAATATTTTATCTAAGCCTAGAATTAAAAGTTATATGAGTGTCTATAAAGTTCCCTTTATTATTTTTTTAAATAAAACCATCGTTAACCACATTTATATTTAGAATTTAATTGAAATGTAACAATTATCTCACTTTAATCAATGTAAACAGCTGGTTTCATCATCAATCGCGGTTATATATAAAAAAAATAAGAAATAAGATCAATAATAAAATCGAGGAGTATTTTTAAAAGGCTTGTAATCGGATATTTTGAGAGTCTCGGCAATATCTTCCTCGAACGATTTAAGTTTCGGTACATACGTTATTTCCTGGTGGTCCTCCGCCTTGGTGTCCTTAGGTTGTTCTGAAAACGCGAAACAAAAAACATAACATTATAGATTTCGTTTTTTTTCTTCCTATAAAGTATCAAAGAATCACTTTTTTGAAGGCTTAAAAAGTGCGATTTTTTTCGCCAAAATAAGAACTGTTTAATAAGCGGGTGAGTATTTATCGGGCCAATAAAATGAAAGAAGAGTGTTATAACCTTTCCAGAGTTGTTAAAAGATACTTTCTACATGGATCTAGATACAGATACAACGTCTAAAATAATATCTAGATACAGATTATTTAATCAAAAATCTATCTAGATACAGATACCACATTTTTATATCTAGATACAGGATCTTAACAACTCTGAACCTTTCAGACCCCATAAACCGATGACGTCGATATAAACCCCCCACTCTATTACTAAGAAATTACGATGGCGGGAAGGCAAAACGAACAAAAATGGAAACCTCCCAAGATAACCATAATGTGTTCGGGGAGAAGGAAAATTAACAAAATATCTTATTTATAATTTGCGCGAATATTTCGAAATTTGAAAATACGTTGTACTGAATTTTGGTAGAAAAAAAAAATTTTTGTTTGATTGGCGTATTAGAACGACGTAACCAAAAGAAATGTTAATTATTATGGCTTCCTATTCCCTTCTTGATCCGAATGAACCAACCTACACCTATCCAATTTATCAGCTTTATATATATATATATAAAATGCTTCCAACAAAATATTAATTTTAAATATATTTCTAATTAACTTAGATGAAGTGGAAACGTTATCTCTACGGGATAGAGTTAAATTAAAACCTAATAATAAATTTAGCTACTGAAGAATAAATTATTTTCTGAGGACCAATATTATGCCCTAACAAGTTATGGGATCTACGTAGAAAATCTGAATCTCTCAATTTAAATCAAGGGAACACAATTTAACCCTGAAAACATTTGTGTATAGCGTTTTTCATTTGCATCAAAAAAAATTGATATAAGATGTTAATATAAATTATGAAGTAGTTCAAAAACGTTCACTTTTAAAAATGCCATAAAATCTGGAGTGCAAAGTCATACAAGATATAGGTGTCGGAATCATTTCCGGTCTAAAACAGATGGTTCAAATTTAAGGAATCGCCTCTACATTTCCGATTTAATCGTGGATTGCGTATCCACGCCAAATAATAAATTGGGATATAAGAAACGAAATGTCGATTCGATATTCAATGTATTGGAAGAAGGAAAACAAGGGACTTTAAAGATTACTCAAAAAAAAAATATTAATTCAAATCAACGAGGAAAATATGTTACTTTTAAGTTATAAAATTACTAACCTAAATAAGTCGCTTTGGTTTTGTAATCGCGAGTTTCGTGAGCTAGCGATGGAACGGGTATAATCCTGCTGGACCTATCGGAGACTCTGACACTCTCCCCCTTTGCGTCAAACTTCCACGATATAAGGGTAGGTAGGCTTTAACAACGAAAGATACGGAAAACGAAGGAATATTTATTCGTAAAAAGAAAAATGGTATTCGTTAGAGCCCAGCCCATATCGGATCGGTATTTTGGTGGTTAACGATTCAAAATACTTACCCCATAAAATATCAGACAATTTTTGCCAGGAAACTTTTGGGTAATCCACCGTTAATCTTAATCTTATATAAAGCCAAATTTTCATGGCACAAGATTGTCTAAAAGTTCGTAGCGTATAGGTAATTCCGCACTATGTTCTGTGGACGTTTTAAGAAGGGACCCCATTTTGAAGTTCGCCATTGACCAAATACCAAAATTATAAAAATAAGTTTTTTCCTTGCAATAAATAATGAAAGAAAGAAAGGAAGGAAGAAAGCAAATTACTTATCAGCTGGGTCGACTAAAGCCACTTCGTCTAGAACTCTCAGGGGATGTTCCCTCTTTATCATCATCGGCTTGATGCCCTTCGATTTATCTTCCACCCTTATATATTCCTTTTTTTTCCATAGTTGGTAAAAAATATATAAATATCGCCACAATTAAAACTTTCCATAATACCCCCCCCCCCCCAAAAAAAAAAATTAAGATGAAACGCTAAAACTAGTGTTGTTAAACTGCTCAATGACATACAATAATAGCTAGAACTGACGACATTCATTAAAAGTGTTACATCAATGAAAACAGCTGTGGGAACGCTATTTTGATTACCCATCATATCATTATTAAAAAAAATTTAAAACGAGAGGGCCAAATTTATTCCAATGTTCTGACGCGAACTTTATTAAAGAATTGACTCATAGAGATAATAAGGAAGCAAGTTATCGATTTAATAGTAGTTTTTAACACGAGAATAATTTCTACATCGGACCAAAATGGCGGTTCCAGCTGATTTGCATTTCGACGACACTTTCAAATGCATTGTTACGAATGCATCGTCAGTCTAGGTATCATTATGTGTCATTGGCAAGCCTTAAGATTTCGCTCATAGGTGGCAACTAGTGTTGGTAAACGGCTAAGCCGAGTCGACTTCGCTGCGACTCGAGCCTAGTTACGACTACGACTCGAGTCGCAAGTCGTAAGAACTCGACTTTTTAACAACACTAGTGGCAACGAAGGTTTGAACATCTATTTTACGAAATTCTCGAGGCTTAGACAATATTTTTTTTCTAGCCTTAAATTATTGAGTTAGCAGTTTTTTTTAAGAATCGACTCATATCGAGCCCGTTTAACAACACTACATTTAAACCATTAAGAAATATATATATATCAGAGTTGTTAAAGGATCTAGATACTCTGTATCTGTATCTAGATAGATTTTTGATTAAAATTATCTGTATCTAGATATTATTTTAGACGGATGTATCTGTATCTAGATCCATTTAAGAAGTATCTTTTAACAACTCTGATATATATACTAAATATTTTACGCAGTTCAGGCCTTCGACGTAAACCCAGTTCCGTTCTTTGACGATCATGTTAACTATTCCTTGTTTTCCTTTGTCGGGGCCGACCAATATTTCGACCTTTGATTTTTAATTCCCCCAAAAAAAAATAATTCATAGCATATTTTAACAAAAAAAAAGCCTATAACTTAATGAGGCATTGTAATAATCATTATTCTACGACTCACTTTTTGGTGTTGTTAAGCTAACTCAGTATTTTTATCCAGAAACGCGAGCCTGAAGATTTTGCTCGTAGAAGGAACAAAGGAGTCTAGACATATATTATTCGAAAATCTAGAGGCTCGGGCAATATTTTTCTGGGACTAAAATATCGAGTTGCCGTTTAACAACAACCACTACTCCCTTTATTTTGGTATTCTTAATTAAATTAATACCTATACCGACATAAACAAGTGAGAGAAATTATGGTACTCCCGCACTCCAAAGAGCGGAGTTTAATAGTGGTATTTGATTGATGTATTTATAAGGGATCACTCCTACTTATAAAACTAACCCCCTCCATCCTTCCAGCTGGAAGATGTAGGTGAGGTCTGTTCCCGATATCGGCCTACTAATAACTCAATCAATCATACAAATTTACAATCGTGGGGGAGGGGGGGGGGGGTGGGGCTTAATAACCGCATCACAAGATTTGATCGTTAACATGTAAAATTAGTAATCGCTAACTTAATTCACTAGATGGTTAATCAGAGATCCTAACCGTAACCATTATCGGGTCTGTTCTGATTCGCTAAAAAAATAATAATATCGGTCCGACTGTAAAAATATTTCAAAACCGGTTCATAGGTTTTTATAAATTTTTGATCAATATTTCCTTTGAGACATCCTAATTACAAATATTTTCGAGTTATCAACAAATTTATCAAATTAATGAAGGAGAAAGAATAAATTCTATGGTCTGAAAAAACACTTTTCTCCAATGAGCTAATTCCGGGTTGGGTGAGCCCCGTTAAATAGTGATATTACAAAACCCATCTAAATATTTATCATATCAAAATTGATAAATTTATTAAATCTTTAAATCTTTAAAGAGTTGGGAATAAAACAAAAAAAGTCTCAAATTTAAATGGTTCCTGTTGGATCTCTGGTTAATATATCTAGTAGATAGAAACTAATGGAAAGAAATAATAATTAAGCCAAAATTTTTAGCAAAAAAAATAGTATTTCAACTGAGAAATGGAGTTGACTTGTAGAAATTTTTGAAAAAGTTATGAAACCCTAGCCTTAAAAAATTTAATATCCCTTGTAAACTATGATGTCATCCGCGGAATTTTTACCTCACGTATAATTTTGGCGGGGATTGTGTCAAGAGTATAAAAAACAGAGTTGAGTTTCACGACTCTTCAAAATTTAAAATCAATTGCGAGCAGGGTTGTGGACCCAAATTAGGGGTCAGATATTTAAAATTGTTTTGGTTGGGACATCTTGGGACCACAAACTAAACGGAGAGACCTAATCATGGACAACCCATCAAACCCGGGGTAATATGGATCCCGGGGTTGGTTCGGACCTCTTTTGCCCGTTATCCAAAATATATGCTAAATAGAGTTTAAAAATTCACGAACCCTTGTTCGAGTTCAAAACCCTGAATGCCAGACTTTCGATCAAGTTTTTCTCAAAAAAAAAATCCTTCGTGATTTTTATGGATTAAAAAAAATATATTTCATGATTTAAATCATAAAAAAAATCATAAAAATTAATAAATTGTTTATATAACTCTATCCCCGCGAAATACGTCCCATTTCGCTATTTTTTCGATGACGGGTGGCATCCTCTTCTTTTTCATGTTGAGCACCTTCCACCCTTCTTCCCAGGGCCTTTGTTCCCCGTACCAAAAGTAAGGTTTCTTTATTCGCTTACGTCCTTGTAGTCCTTAATAAACCGCGAAAATAAGTTTTTTTTTATAAATTATAATATAGTTATAGCGGGTAAGTTGGGTGATTCCGCTATTTTTAGGTCCGGCTAAAAAAAACGAATAAACCTAGTAATTTTGAGAAAAGCTATCACCTTAAGCCTCGTATTTTTTTTTGGTCCTTAAAACTATAGCTTAATCTTGATGGGAAGCGGAAATAAATTAACTAGCGCCTCAATGCTTAGCGAAAATTTTTCCGCTTCGCACCCGTAGATTAAACCACCGATTTTTTAGTCAATATCTAAATTATCGTGAAGAGATTTACATAAATTAATCTGAACATTCATTTTATCCATGATTTATTCAACAATTTCTCCAAACAAATTTTTTTTTTGGTTAAAATGCGACTTAATATGGGGGTGCCAAATAGAGAATGGGAAAAGTCTACCTGGCTGCCGAATGTCCCAGTTTATCTTTAAAAATCGGTCTATCTCCTGTCCGAAGGAAAAAAAAACCTTTATAATCTGTTATTCATTAGATTACTCCATTGTATTTCCTTTACTTTCTTTCCTTAAGGAAGGAAGGAAAGGAAGCACTTTATAAGTTTATATTTACATGGCCAGCCATTTCCATCCTGTCTAAGACACTTCTAGCATTTATTAAAATTAATTTTAATTGTTTATTTTATAAAAGTCTATGGCTATATATCATCATCATCAAAAAAAAACTACATTAGTATGAAGTCCGATTTTACTTTCCCAAGAAATTAGTAACAAAAAAATAAATAAGAGACTGGGCTCACTGTTCCAACACTAGGGTGAAAAATAATTAATATTTTACTCCAAAACAAAATACATTGATTTAATTTAGCGACTTCTAAAATAAGAATTTATTGGCCCAAGCCCACCTGTGGCAACTTGATCTAGCCTTTTGTTGTCAGCCTGAATTTTTTAAAAAAGTTTTCACTAATCAATTTTAATGTTATAAATTAAATGTTCAGAAATATTTTGGATAATTCTTTTTATTATAAATATATCGTATTTTTAAAAATGGCTTAATCAATCGGCTCAAAAAGAGCAATTTAATAAGTGAATTAATAGTAAATATTTCCAAGTTTTTGAAAGGAAGGAAATATAAAAATATTTTTTGTGCCAAGGCCTGGGTGACTATATCTTATTTGTGCACTATCTCCCTCTAGTATTTTAATTAAGATAATAAATATTAACAATTTTATCTTTATAAATAGCATCTATCAAGTCATTGGTGTCACTTTATATTTAGGGGGATTATAGTTGGTTATTTTAAAAAAAAGGTATAGATTCTTAAAAGATTATATAGTAAAATTGATTTAAGAACTTTTTACTAATATTAACATCTGATATGAATGGATCCATAAACAGGAAATAAATTAATTATTTATTATGGCTGAGAAAATTGGTGTTCAAGAGGTAAGCAAATAATTTAAACAGATCTCAGGAAGTATTGATTTTATTCCTAATAAATCTTTTTTTTTACCTAGGCCACTTAAAACCTGAGAGTAAAATATTTTTTTTAGGGAACCTGACTTGTTTGTCTAAGAGCACAACTCTTTATAAATGCAATTAAGTATATTTTGAACTAAAAATATTTAATCAATATTTTAAAGTTATATATTATTAAATATTCAGCAATAACTTTAATAAACTATTCTATTTATTTCAAAAAAAAGTATATGAAATTTATAAATTCATTTTGTATTGGGCATTCAATCAGCTAAAAAAATAAAAGAAATTTTATATTAATATATTTTAGGGCTATAGGACACATCTACTCTAAAGATGTTAAATATAACAATAAGATATAACCTCTATCTTCCGACCAGCTAGGAAAATGGCCATCAATTACTTTATCCACATAAGCTTTAGGAAAATTATGCCATTCTTTAAAATTGGAAAATAAAATTCTAGACAAATTAACCATGTGGAAAGTTTGTCATATCATATCATTTAAAAATTAATTATAGAAGGAATAAATGATTGACTTATAGACTCTCATTAAAGATTACCGTCAAAAAAGTGTCAATGTATTTAAATAATTAAATATAGAAACTTCCATAAAATATAAATAATTCTTATTTTATCTTTTATATAATATTTATTTTATTGTTTAAAACAAACTATGAACTATTTTATATGATGGAATCTCTTATTTCTATGGGCTATTATGTTAGTTTACTAATACAAAATAAAATCAGTCAACTATATCATGCACTAAAAATCTTCTTATACTTTCATATATTTTAAATTACATCTATTTTAGTTATTGATGTTCGCATTATTTCTAGAGAGTGAACCTTTTTTAATTTATAAAAGATAATTTTTTATCACTTAAAACTACAATTTTAAACATGGCAAATATATTGTCTTAAAATTGGTATTAGATAATTTTTAAAAAAGATTTATTCATAAAATTTTGAACGAATGTGAACGCGTTCCATTTTGAAAATGAACATGGAATACAAATGCGTTCTATTTTTTTAGAAATGTTTACAGCATAAAATGTTTCGACAAATATTTGATGAAAAATCAATATGAGAAGAATGTATCAATACATAGTTTAGTAAGCGAAAAAAGTGGTCATATAAATCAAACAACCCTAACACTCGGGTTTGGTAACGTGGGGGGGGGGCGAGTTGTAGTTTCCATTTTTTACATATATTTTATTATATGCACCGATATTTTTTCATATTATAATTACCAAATTTTTCAAATTTTTTTATATCCTATATATTGTTTTTTAAATTGCTAAATGATGTAACTATTTATACCTGTCGTGCATCCTCAAAAGTGTTTGAAATAACAGGTCACCTGAGTGATTGGCTAACATTCATTCATTCATTACCACGCCAGAAATTGCACGAAGTGCAATTTCATCACCCACCAGGAGTTGTAGCGTGCACCATGTATATTCACTAGTATATAGATCCTATGCATGATGTATACCCGTTTTATTATAGTGGACAGTACCACTATGTAGTCAGCTAGCATAGTAAAGAAGAGAGGAGTAAGAAAGAGGGGATCTATTAGTTCCGTTACCGGCAAAATAGTGTTAAGAATTGTAGCTAATATTAATAATAATAATGTACCTGACACCTGGTTAGATTTAAGAGATGGGGAAAAAAAAATTTCTTAATGTTTGGTAAGTATATCCTTGGAAGATAACGCAATGTCTATAGAATCCATGTTATTCACTATTATCATTATTATATTGAGCCTGGAGATCGTTATCATTATCAATATTCACGGTTTTAAGATTATCATTGACTTCGTCAAAAATCATAATTCCTATTGCGCCAGAACATAAGTTGTCATTAGCCTGGGGAAAAGAGATTGGAAATAAGGCAGTGTGAGGAAAAGTCTGATACGTCCACGATTCCTGCTCTAGTTTAAACCATATTTAAGCATGTATTGCAGATGTTCCTTTAAATGTTTCTTGTTTTTGCTGAGTGCAAGAAAATCTATAAACGTAAGATTGATCAAGTCCATGTCCTTCAGACATTTTGCCAGCCAATAGTATTTGGGGATTCTTCGCCTTCCATAATCCGGGGTCCACTCCATGGACGAAAATATCATATTATCTCGTGAATGTCTTAAGCAGTGGCCGAGTAATTCTAATCTCCTCAAAGGAATGAGTCTCTTGATAGGTAGGATGTCGCACCTGTTCCAGAGAGTTGTGTTTTTTGAAATATATATCATTCTCATTGGGTTCGGTTTATTTGTCTATGTTCGTATAAATTCGTGAATGTAAAAATATACAAGTTATGACATACATATCAAGAGGTATAAATCTGGTGCATATTTAATTACAATTGGCATAAATAATAATTATTTTACTTAATTACGTCAGATAACTAGTTTTATATTAAATTAAGTGTTTAGTAGCAATAAATGTAATATTTTATTTAAGTTTCAAGGATTGACTATATTGGGAAATAATTTTATATTGATGTGTAATTATTTAATCTTGTTTTAATTTTTGATTTAATTGAGATTCAGCCTAAAGATTTATTTTTTTTCTCGTCATTCAATTATTTTAAAATTATGCTTTTTTTAAAAGATTTATTTGATGAGACATATTTAGTTTAACTTTGTACTAAAATTTTGTTTATTTTTTAGTCATTATTCAATTCCATATACTTAACTATGGCATCTGCATTATTGCCATATATCATAGGCTACTCTGCAAATCTGATATATCTTCTAAAATTCATTAATAAATTTATGAAGAATATCTTTTTAATATATCAAAACTATAAATATATTTTAATTCTATTAAAGATTAAATTATTTTTTTTTAAATCATTATCAAATAAAAGTTGTTTTATGTTGCTCTTAATTTTTTATTTAGTTTTTGAATAATTTTTAATAGATTTGATACAAGGGTTTCCAAGGTAGCCATTGGTATGATTTATTTTAGAAAGAGCGAATAAAAAATGAATAATAACTTTTTTATGTTTTATTTGTTTCCACCATCAGATGGTAGGATACTGGAATCACAAAGTCCCATGACTTTGAAGTTTTACATCGATCTTGGAAAAGCTATATATGCCTTCTTTTTGGCCTTGTAAGCTTATAATATTAATTCATTGCTCACCTGTTTTATATGTTCGTACTTATTCATTTTTACTAGGGTTGCGCTGATTCAATATCTTCCTAAACCTGATATGATTCTTGCATTGATTTATAATTTTAATCATGTTTATATGCTCATTTATCTATTATTTTAGATATTATCTATATTTTACTGCCAGACATCAGTGTTATCCACCTGAAACCTGTCAGTATCATGCAGAAAAATTAGTAATAGTTCTTGCTTTCTTTCTATCTATCTTTATTTTTTTTCTTAATATAATTTTCAATTTGAGCCAGAGATGTACTGATGCCTTTTTTTTATATATGATACCAATATAGTATTAGCTGATCCCAAATGTTTATTGGAGAAAAAAAGGATAAAATTCATCAATATTATTATTTACTGTTAATATATGACAGCATTTTTATTCTTCTCAATTTAATATACTTTATTATTCTTCTCTTTTTTGGAATCAGCTGGTAACTTGTTAATATTGATTTTAGTAGTGGATGAAGGTAATTGTTATCTACCATGCATCTCTAGCTAAAATTGAATTTGAAAGTATTGGTTCATAAGATGTAAATATAACCATTATATAGAATATGGTCTCGAACCTAATATTTAGAATTGGTGCAACCTTAATTATTCACTGGATTTATTCATTCCATTATTAATAATTTGCTTGATTATATTTATTATATTACAATTTTTTTTCTCCACAAAAAAAATTTATATCAAAAAAGCTTCGAATCACTCCTCGGGGTAAGTTTTCACATTTGTTATTTTTATATTTAACATAATAAACCCTATCTCAGTTAGTGATCTGCATGGGGCCTAATTTTTCAAGCCCAACCCGTCCTGAGATTTTTTAAAAATTACCGGCCCAGCCCGGCTCGAATTTATTTGAATAGAGAAATTAATTTTTATAATTACTAGACATATGTTACGTGTCGTTTAGTTTCATTAAATAAAATCAAATATTTTTTATTTTACACAAAAAATTCAATATAAAATTGATAAATTTAAGATATATTTAAAAAAAATTTCCAAGGTCCGACCCGACCCGGCCCTAATTTTTTAAAAATAATATTAAGCCCAGCCCAAACCGGATTATTTTAAATAAAATTAGGCCCTAGCTACAGCCCTAACTTTGCAGATCTCTAATCTGAGTCTCATTTCGAATCAATTACCATTTGGCCCACCTCTTGCAATTTGGCTAAAAATTTGTAGATATGCTTTTATACATCATATTCTGATTACAAAATTTTAACCCTCCCCCCTCCCCACAAAATAAAATCTCTTGCATTACCCAGAGATAATGAGAGGGTCCAAGGCTTAAAAATTGGCCATTTTCTAAACCTTTTTACTGACTATAATTTGTTATTGATATACCATTTCAAAGCAAAACATTCATGTGCTATCTATATTTTTTGGACATCGGCAATTTCTAATTATTGCAGAAAATGAAGAAAGAAATGAAGCCCGTATTCAGTCATTGGAAAAAAAATCAATTATTAAAATGAACTTAAAATGACCAATAAAACATAATTTTCATTTATTTTTATCCCTTAATTATCTATCAATAACCTAGTTATTAGTATTTTTAAACTTACATCCAGACCAGTTTCCTTTTTTTATTAATTAACGGAAAATTAAATTTATGCCTTTCATAAAATCTGCCACAATAGATCTCTAAAGGAAGTGGATGACAGTGTTACCTTCCACGTCCCCCGCCCATCTCTTCTCACCCCCCCCCCCTATATATGTTTGCTTCGTTCATTTCATTAGTTCACTTCGCTCAAATTTTTCAAGTTCTTCCGAAAAACGACATAAATTCGTAGTTAAGTAACCCTACCAAAAAACTCAAGCGACCAATCGGATCGACGTCTAATCATAATAATAAATAAAAAAATAATGATATTATTAATAAATAGTTATTTTTCTTATAAATAAATATAAACAACAATAATAAAAATTTAATTTAAAATCATAAGATTAATTAAATTAATTTTTTTAATTTTAATTTTCAAAGACAAAAAAAAATATATATTAAATTTTACAAACAAATTCTTCTTTTTTTTAAAAAATATAAAAACTGACTCGTGCTGACTTAGTCTTCTATTTCGAAGTCAAATAAATACACCTAGGTTACAAAAAAAATTAATCCGCGAAAAAAAAACTCCTCCTGTCACAACATCTCCACTCTTCTCCCCTCCAACGTTCCTTATTAGTAGAGGGTGTAAGGGTCTTTATTCTCCGATCCAAACAATTCATCCACGATACCTAGCTCCAAAAATTCCTCGTCCGTCGCCGCTCGTTTTTTCGGCGCTTCTCTTACCACAGGCTGCCTATGTTGTGAAGATGACGGCATCCCCAAAG